TTATTACACAGTATTTAAAAGTTAAGGAATGCTTTTTAAAAATCAGGAGTTGTCCGAACACTCAAGAAAAGAACCTTCCTTGGGAACAAAACTGCTTATGCTGTGATTTGCCTTCCATATGTACCCAGTCTTCTGAAACTAGTATTATTTAGAGCTGTCTTTCTAGGGGAGACAATAGGACAATGTTGAATTTACACCACCTGAGGGCACTGTAATACTATTTACTTTAATTTTCAGGGCAAATACAAAAAGGTTTGAAGTGTTTGAAATGGTCAACATTTTACTTCCTCTTACAATTACTATCAACTTCTGGAACAAGCACACCACTGAAACGAATCAATATCATTAATAAAGATGTGTTATTGAAGGCAAGTATCTTGGAAAGGAGGCCGTCCTTTTCTCCTGTCACTAACATTTTTTCCTTGTACCCATTGAAGAATGATGGTAATTTTAAATATAATGCTATTATTATTTTAAATGACACGTTACCAGTGTGGCAGTGATTGCTGTATAAAGTCATGGAATTGTTTAGGTTGGAAAAGACCTCCAAGATCAGGAGTTCAAGTGCTAACCAAGCACCACAGCAATCTCCACTGAGCTGGACTCCTGGGCTGCAGTTCTGGCTGTTTGCATTTGCTGCCTCTTGTCTGTGTGCAGAAAAGTGCAGAGCCAATGTAGAAGCACACAATGATTGTGCTGTCCATGTCACACTGCTTATTCTACTTAGCTAGAATCATAGAGTCACTGACTGGTTTGGGTTGGAAAGGACTCAAAAGATCCATCCACTCCAAGGCAGGGAGTGCCATGGGTAGGGACACCTTCCTCTAGACTGTGTTGTTTGGAGAATATAAAAAAGTGAGAGACAGGAGCAGTAAAAATCTCCCTACATGGACACTCCTGATGTGGCTTGTCTTCTGCCTTGCCAGGTTTACCTTCTCTCTCAGCACTTTCTACACTGTCATCTCTCTCTTTTCCTTATTCTTTACATTTTTTTCCATCTGCTCTCTAGTAATTTCATTTCACCATCTTGTTATTTTCCCTGCTAGTGCAGGAAGAGGGTCACTTCAGAAGTACAGTTCCAATAAGAAGGGCTCTGTGCAGGTCAGGAGCTCCTCTGCAGGAAGATGTTCTTCCAGAGGTCACAGCCTTTGGCACCAGTCGCTCCTCCCTTCTTACAATGAAGTGGCTGAACTCTCCCAATCTATATTCACTCGAAATCCCATCCTGGAACCTTTTTATTCTCTTTATACAACATGAAACAGAGTTAAACCTTCGTGTCAGAAACTAGATAGTATTTATAGTCTTGTTAGAATAATAACCAAGTGCATTTCCACCAGAAAAATGCTTCAAAATTGTACTTTTTCAGTTCGGTCATTTCAGCAATCCAGGAGTACATTCAGGAATAGTTCTATAGACAATCCATTCTACACTGACCAATTTGACTGACATAAATAATACCTTTAATTTGTGTATGGTAATTGCATTAACAAGGGAATGATACTGTTTCTTTTGCAGTCGAGGACAGAAGTGAACGAGCTCAACTGTGTTTTGCATAACAGGATTTCTTAGGACATGTAACGGAAAAGAGAAAGTTGTGTCAGATAAAGTAGTTTAAAAATACACTAGAATAACTCCTTGAGGAATTATCCCATATTAAAGAAAAATGAAAGTAAAAAAAAGGATTTAAAAGCTTCATTTAAAGACAACTCTACCTTTAAAAGGCATGGTATGAACCCAGTATGGGGGACAGGAACAGATATGTAGTTATTTAAGAGATCTTAGCTCTTCCAATAAATCAATCCCAATAAAAGAGAAAAAGTCAAGAATAGCCTCTGTAACTAGTCCTGTTAGTATGTATGTCTTAAGTTGTCTTTATAGATACTTAAGTATCTTGAAGCAGTGAGATTTATCTATTGCAGAAACTTTCCTTCCTTGAAATCTAATTAATCTAATACGTTATTTTATTACATTAAGGTCGTCAATATGAAATATATGTAATTTGCATTCCTCAAATCTGAGCAGGAAGTTGGTTTTTGCTCTAGTGAGAGACTGAAATACTTTGGAGAGGATATGTACTGTGTTTCACAGCAAATGTTTATTGAATGAAATAGATATTTAGGCAGTTTTGTTTCTAGCAGATTTTTTTTATATGTGGCATTAGCAAACACTTTCCAGTGATATTCTACCAGCATGGAATGTAACTTTTTTCCATATGTACACTCTGTATATAAAATCATGAGGCTTTACTTTCACACATTCTAATGTGCACTTTCTATCCTCTCACATGTCAAATGACCAATACCTCTTTATTTTTTTTTTCCCCCCCTTTCTGGCAGTAATTTTTTTGCTCATTTGACATCCAATTTGGCAAATTAATTATGACAGCAATCCTTTCTTCTGTGCTGTTGCTTCACTTTATTCCACACTATGTATTCAGGTTTTCTGGGGCCATTCTTCTCCCCCACTGCCCCTTGTTTTGGTAATGAAAGATAGGATTTATATATACTGATTAAAATAATTTTGAATGGTTTTACATTCATTTTAGCTCAGATAAACTGAATTCCAAAATTTAAATGTATCTTGTAACCATTTATGCAGAACATAAGAACTTTTTAATTGTTGATGATATAGAAAAACTCTGAAGGAACTTATATTTGGAAGGAACAAAACTATTAACTAAATCTGTCACTGGGACAGGGGTTAAAAGACTAAGAAGCAGTACTTAAAAGATCTGATGGAAAGAAGCGTTCAAAAGGACTTTCTCAAAAAGGGAGAAAAGATGCTAGAAAGATATTAGAGTTGTTTCTTTCCAAACACAAACATTTAGAAAACGTCTACATCAATAGGAAAGATAATGAGACACCTGTAAATGTGAAGAAGGCAAAAGACATCGTGCATTTTGAAGATTAAACCCTTTTTTCTGTAAAGACAGTATTTCTCTTGAAGTACATACATCCTAATTTATTCACAAATAGTCAGGCAGAAGGAGATGTGCTTAGCTCTTGCCTGTTAGTGCAGTTAATGCAGAGGAGGAAATGTCTTGTTCAGTGTATGCACACCCAGCAGAACGGAGGGGAGAGCCCTGTGCCATCAAAGGTTGCTCTCATCAAGGGCTGCAAGCCTGTCCATCCACCCAGGCCTCCCAGCCAGAGTCCCATGACCGTGCTAAGGCCAACTCAGGTCATTGACAGCTGCTTGTTAGTCATTTCTCAAGTTGCCTAATGTGGTGAATTTTTTCCATGAGTAAAGAAGCTTATTTTGTGCTGGATCCCAGTGTTACCCTGACTGTTCTCACTCTTCTTCTCAACCTGTGCTTTTTTCATTTCCCTATGATAATATAGGAAAATTATGTACTGGGGTGAAATACTTCTGGTAGAGAAGTCAACAAGATCAGTGCAGTTATCTCCATGTATTGCATTTCTCTGTAGAAAATTTATAGTCAGCTCACCCTGCATCCTTGCCTGAGAAAGCCTCGTCTCCTCTCTCAACACTCTTCCTTTGCTTTTCTCTCCAAAGCACTAATAGCGGGATTTCACACACAGGGTGTCTCAGGCAGTCCAAGTTTATCTGCAAGATTTCTGCCTATGCTCTGAAGCAGTCTGTGCATTTTTTGCTGTTTTGAATCGGAAAGACTGCTTATCAAGCTTCTGTTTACAGTTTCCCAGTCCCTGGCTCTCCAGGCTGGTGCCCAGCTGTGTGAACCGCTGGCAGTCCCTCCCCAGGCTGCATCCTTCTACCGCCTGCTGGGCCAGAAGGGAGTGTTGCATCTGCAGTGTCCCCACAGCAGAGGAAAAGGTGGTGGCACTGGTCCTTCTGTGTATTCTTGTCAATGCTCCTCACCCCCTCTTCGCCCTGATTTAATGGAACTCACTTTTGGTGATAGAATTTAATGACGTTTGGATCGGTATAAGCCTTCATTTAATGGGCTGTAAGATATGCTTTTTATTTAGAGCTGCAATAGATAGCATTGTTTAAAAAATTAACCCTGAACAATCTGAAGCATACAGGAACATACATCTGGGACATTTGTGCTAGGAGTAAGAGAGTAACTGAACTGAGAAGTGATTGTTCTTTTTTCATGGAGCTATAATGAAGTGACATATGGCTTGTTTTATACGGGACCTAAAACTCTCTTAAAGTAGTATTTCAGAACATTTTACTTTCTTCTCATAAATTCTCAGCAATAAATGTTCTACTTCAGTACAAATACAAAATTTTTTTTTAGGTAAAACCTAATTCAGACGGGCAAGAGAGTACATAAAAGATGTTATGCCATCAGAAAAGTCCAATCACAGGCAATTCTGAGCTCCATTGACACTGGAAGAAACAAGATATGTAGATGATAACTTCTGGTGCATCTCAAAAGGAAGTACTTGGGAAATATTCATGGTCATTAAAGCACCTGCAAATCTATTCAGTTTGCAGAAATGGAACTTATGTTCAGATCAACCCTGCTTGGGGAAACCATCTGCAAAGAGACTGAAAATAATTATTTATTTTATAGGGCAGGAGACATGGAAAAGCCCCTTTAATTTTTCAAATTTCAGACTGATTTTTTCAAAGTGAGCAGAAAGACATAGGAATGTTTTATGTAGACTCTTGAATACTCTTAATAATATCCAAAATTGCTATTTAGAGCAGAAGCACATATTAAATCATGTAGGATCAAGTCAGGGACAGCTCTTGAAATCCATATTTGCAATTAACTTTCAGTAATGTCTCAGTTCTTACTATTCTGTTAAATTCCATCAATTTAATCAGAGGTTGGATGGCATGTTTAAGCAACAAACTGACAAATTCTGCCAGCAAAATGATACAACACATACAGTCCCTCATGTCAGCAATGTGTAGTCAAGTCTTTTCACCAGCTACCTGGGCTATAGGAGTTGTTTTGGGTAAAGATAGATTCAGTTGTTGGTATGAAGCAGAAAACTTGGCTGCTTTTGTTTCTGTTGATGCTGAATTTCAGTTTTTGATATTTTAATTATATTTAGCATTCTTTCAGAACATTTTTCAATCATTAGCTGATCTAAGAAAGCAAGACTACTCAGAAGCTGAGCTAAAAGTAATGCATTTTGGGGCTAGAAATTAGCAGCAGAACCTCACTAAATATGACATGTATATAATGAGACCCCAGGTATATTGTACATATTTCTGCAGTCAGATGTAGGTTATCTTTACATCAATCATTATAAAGGCCTCTGAACAAGTGAAATATTTAGAACATTTATTTTCATTTATTGAGTATTTAAGATAGTCGGGTTGATTAAGAAAAAAATAACTGTTTTGCAAAGAGACAGTGGGATCTAATCTTGTGCAGCTAGAGGAAAGGAGTCCCTCAGTCTGGTTTTTGCTCCCTGCTGGTTCCATGTGTTGTCTTATCTGTCGGTTTCTCAAAGTCCATAGAGGAAAGTTCATCCATAGAGAATTCTTTGGGAACCATCCAATAAGAAGGGTGAGTATAATGTCAAATATCACATTATTTTGATTTCAACATTTACAGTCCCTTTTACCAAATTCCTGTAAACTCTGGCTCACCACAGATGTCTCCCTCTTACCAGGCAGCCTTTCTTTTTAAAGTGCTGAAAGTGTGGGAGGCTTCCAAGCAAACACTGATTTTTTTTTCCCCTGACAGAGTAGGGCTGAGCTGAGAGGTATTTCAGCCCTGCTGGCTGCTGCAGGAGGAGGAAAGCTGCAGCTTCTACAGCTGGGTCCTACTACAGATGAAGGCACAGCTGCAGTGAGAGAGAGGCAGTGGGCAGAGAGGGGCAGAAGTTGCTCTAGGAGATATTCTTGCTAATCCCTGTTCCCACTTTCACTCTGCAGCATTAAACCTTCCTCCAACTGAGATATTTTTTCCTCAATTATTATTGGAGAGCAGAAGGAGGGGGAGTTTGTTCACACTTTTGTTGGAGAGAACAAACATGTCCTTTTAATCCTGAATTTTATTTACAGATTTGAAACTCCAATATTATATGATATAATTTTTGCTACTAAATGAAGTAATGGATGCATTCAGAGCATTTGAAAATGGGTCGCTCTTGTCCAGTTACTCTGCTCCTGTGAGGTGGGATCCCTTCCGTCGGCCCTTGGACTCCATCCCGCCCTGGCAGTTCAGGCTTCTGGCAGCAGTAATGCTGGTGGTGACCTCCCTGTCACTTGCTGAGAACCTGGCTGTAATCCTGGTAACTTGTAAGTTCAAGCAATTGAGACAGCCTGTCAATTATATTGTAGTCAATTTGTCTGTGGCTGATTTCCTGGTCTCATTGACTGGTGGTACCATCAGCTTTTTAACAAATCTAAAAGGTTATTTTTTTATGGGATACTGGGCTTGCGTATTGGAAGGATTTACTGTCACATTTTTTGGTAAGCTTGATTTTATTTGTAGTTGTATGTTCTTTTCCTTCAATTTCCTTCAATGTATTCTGCAGCTTCCTGAATCACTGACTTTGCATGCCTATGGATTCACTGGTATTTTCCCCTGCTACATATGTTCTGTAGTGGAGAGTGAAAAATATATCTCTCTATCCCTGTCATATACATGGCCTGTTGCATGTGTACTCATCATTGGATATGTTCATAGAATGAGGAAAAGCTTACCAATAGAATAACAGTGCTGTGGGGCTTATGGTAAAACAATTTCAGGGAAAAGATCCTTATGCATAGCTATTTTCAATATTTGTATTTAGGTGTGTGGATAAATAAGAGAGAGAGAAAAAGAGTGAGTGGCTGCCCATGAACTGTGGAAAATCTCAGGGCACAGAGCATCTTGTGTTCTCTGTCCTCCAGGGGGTCTGAGGAGCTGGGACACACCTGTGACAGTCTGTCCACACATCTACATCTTTTTGTGATTTTTTTTTTTTTTTGGTGATTTTTTTTTTTGTTTTTTGTGATTTTTTTTGTGGCTTTGTTCACTTACTACAAAAAAATATTAGAAGTACCCTAAGAGGAAAAATTCTCACCACACAGTACCCCATATAAATAGATCTCTGCAGAATAAATAGGATGTTAGTTTAAAATGGGGCATCTACTCACTTGAGACAGATACTCATTCCTCCGTCCTGTCCCGTTCCTGAAGCTGCATGAAGACAGCCAGAAATGCTTGTCCTCCCTGCTCTAAATCACACACAGTGCTGATCCTCAGCCTGAAAAGGAGTCCCACAGCTGCTCTCTGCCTGTTTAGGTTAGACAGAGGGAATGTCAGTGAGGGACAATGCTTCTACATCAGTTTGTGGGAAGTAAGCCGTGTCCTATGGAGCAAGATCAGGCAATTTTGAGATTTTGGTGTCCCGCCAGGTAATATGTACCTAAATTGATAATTTAATATTGTGGGCAGCTGTCTGCAGGTTTGAGTTTTCTGACAGCCTGAAAATTTTTTTGCAAAGATAACATTTTGAAGATTTTAGGTAATTAATTTGGATGCTACACATAATTTGCAGCTTTTCAGAGTAGAACCAAACAAAAAGCGTATGTCCTAATCTCTTAACTGGCCTGATTAGCTGCTTGGTTTTGTAGCCCTTATACTGTAGACTGGCAAACTGGACAAATGTGAAATTCTTATGCTCTTCCTTAATATTAGAATAATGCACATAAATTGCCCATCCTTTCATAACCTGTGTTGATAGAAAAGGTGTCTGATGTAGTGGGTAGTCAAACAGTGTAACTGGTTGCTCGGAGTGGTTGTGGAGTCTCCATCTCCAAAGATACCCAAAACCCAGCTGGACTTGGTCCTGACAACCTGCTAGATGGACAGTGCTAGAGGGGAAATGATGACCTCCAGGGATGCTTTTCAAAATAAACAGTTCAGGGATTCTGTAATTTGGAATGGTGTTTTCAGTTATCTACCCAAATTTGATTCTGACTGTGTTCTGCAGGCATTGTAGCTCTCTGGTCTCTGGCTCTGTTGGCTTTTGAGCGGTACATTGTGATCTGCCGCCCGCTGAGAAATACACGCTTGAGGGGGAAGCATGCAGCTCTAGGTATTGTCTTTGTGTGGAGTTTTTCCTTCATTTGGACCATTCCACCAACAACTGGTTGGAGCAGTTACACCACCAGTAAGATTGGAACTACTTGTGAGCCTAACTGGTAAGGCCACTCTCACAGAGTATGGTAAAAAATGAAACTTGCAGCTCAGGATGCCTTAGGGCCAGGAATTTAAAGAAAAGGGTTAAAGATGATGTAAATATCTGAAAAAAACCCAAAAAACCAGATATAGAGAAAGTGGTAATAAAACTGATCAAAATTTTCCACGATCAGTTTCTAAACCAAAAATTTCTAAAGGGTGGAGCCTCCATCTCTAATGAAAATCATCATCCTAGACCTTGTGCTTTTTGTCAGGAGTCAAAGGATAAAGAGAAAGATTTTTTCAGAGGACTGGACAAAGCTCTGAGCAAGCTGGTCTGAGCCCATAGCTGGCTCTGCTTGGAGCAGGAGGTTGGACTACACATTCCTCCCCACCTAATCAGCCCACAGTTCTTTTGTACTGTACCTTTAGTTGTAGAATCCTCTCCTAGCCCCTGGGCAGGGAGATGGCCCAGTGCTCCATCTGGTGATATGAGTAGAGCTGCAAAGGGGCATCTTGAATAAAAACATTCGACAAAAGTACTACAGACATTTTTGAAAAAAAAAATTAATATTTCAAGAAAATAATAATAACACTTAGAAGTAATACATACCCAAGCTATTTTGTATTTTATCCAGGTACTCAGGAGCTAATGCTGACCGTACATACATCATTACGTTCTTCACCACCTGTTTTATAGTACCCTTACTGGTGATTCTGGTATCCTATGGAAAATTAGTGCAAAAGGTAAAAAAGGTAAGAAGAAGCACTCAGAAGTAAACTTGTAAAATGTGTATGCATGCAAATGTTTGGAATTACTGTGTTTGATTTTATATAAAGATCAGATATAAGCAGATCAGATTTTCAGGCAGCAAACACACACAGTTATATCCCTTGTTATATAATTATCCTTACACACACAGAAATTCACGCTATGGTTAGAAGTGATGTTTTAACGTGTGGAGTTCATGTCACTTAGCAGTACATCTCATTAGTCAAACATCATACAAATGAAAGAATGTCTACTTCATAAATAAACAGAGCGATCCAGTACTGCTTTATTCACAAGTGTGCTTCAATTCATTGACATTTCATAAGACTCAAACCAGGCAAATTAGAATTCAGCTTAAAATGGCTGCAGTTGTAAGAGTGTTGCCTACTACTTAGTAATACTCAAAATAAGATGTAGCCTTTGTAAATAATGCAATGCTGTTTAATAAACAAAATATTAGCTTGTCCAGGAATATTTAAAATACTTGAGAAATGCTTTCGAATTTTCTTCAGTGGTTGTGTTGACCTGATCCAAAGGAGAAGCTGCAAAAAGTGGCAAAGAAGACAATAGCATCAGAAAATTCCTATTTGGTACAGGATCTGGGGACAAGATTTTGGGACAATATTGATAACTGCAAAGCTCTGAAAAGCCAGTACCTGCAACATATTCTGTAAATTAGTAATGAATTGCCATATGGTTATATCTCACAACTAAGCTCATTTTCAAAAATCTGACTGCAGTGAACAGAGAGAGATCCAAGCACCAGAACTGGTGTCTGGGGGTTCCCAACCAACCCTCTTCATGCATTTTGTCCTATGGCTGTCACAGTGTAGGCTTGTTCCTGAGTGGAGTAGTTGTGTCTTCATAGTCTGCCAGTCCCTCAGTCCCAGTGACCCCAGCTTTACAATGCCAATTGTAGCTTTCAACATCAAAATTGATGAAAGAAATTAATCTTTGGGAAAATATCAGATTAGCAGTTTACAACAGAGGTAAATTATTATGGCAGTATTCCTTTTTTAGAAGATAAAGCACCAGTATGTTTTTCTTAATCAGTATTGAGTGAGAAAGGAAAAGCTGTATGTGAAAAAAAGACCAGGCTGATACAAAACAAAGATGAAACAGTTGAAAGTGCAATAGAGGAGATTGTGTTAGTTTTCCAGGGGACTGCACTTCTGCTGAAAGGGAGGCTGGGCCTCTGTCTGTGTAGGAACAGCATACATGAAAAAAATGCTACAGGAATCTCATATATTGGCAGGGAATATCTCATCAGTACCAAACACAGCCTTTGTTAATGCCTAGTAACTTGCACTTATTGTAACAATTCATTATTGTTCTTGTTGTCGTTGTTGTTATGTTTATATTTGGTAAAAACTGATACACATTGCAGCTTTCTACAGAGGTGGAGACATCGCTCTTCCTAGGAGGTGTTTCTATACCTCTTTAAGTACAAAATATGTTGAATTCTCTGAGTGGAGTTCAAAAATTATTAGAGAAAATGTCTCCGTAGAGTTCTAACATTACTGCAGGAAGTTAAAAGGCCATGTTATGCAAACAAATCTTATTTTATTAGAATGTAATATTGCAAGACCTGGCATCAGGTTTCTCTGGATCCATACTGAGTTAGTAATTATTTCTCATGTAAAATAACATTTCATAACAGCACCTTGTTTCACTAAGTCATCAGAAACCAAACAAGGTTGTTTCCTAGAAGGATGCTGTTTGACATCAGCTAATCTCTGTATGAACATCTGTGCTTAAACTTCTTGCATGATCACTGAGGAAAAGAGGGAGAGCATTCCTACTAAATGCCCCAATCCCACTTTAATTCTGGTATCATTAGACCATAAATGCTCTTCTGGGGAAGGCCATAAAGCACCACTGAGCCAGACAGGCTCCCCTGGTGTGAATTTGCCCCTTGGTGAGAAGGTTGTGCAGCCTCAGCAGTGTGGTCTGTAATATCCGTATCAGACACCCAGTGTCTGCAAAAGCTACATGGAATAAAAAGTGCTTGAATTCAGCTCGGTATCTGCTCATGAATCACCATGATGACCTTCTTTTTCACTTTGACAATAAAATACAAAGATACTTAAGCAAAGGAGAATTTACTATTGTTGGTATAATGTTGGCACCTATCCCTCTGTGTTGCCACAACTGGGAAGAGCATATCTTCCCCTCTAGCATGGCAGCTAGACAGCTCACTAAAGTCACTGCTTGGACACCTTGTTGTTTGTTTTCTAGAATCTTGTCTTTTTTCTCAGGTGTCATATGCACAAGGAAAGCTGGGAGCTACCAGGAGAACTGAAAGACGAGTGACTAGAATGGTTGTTTTTATGATCATTGCCTTTCTAATCTGCTGGATGCCATACGCTACCTTTTCTATCCTAGTCACTGCATATCCCTCCATTGAGCTGGATCCTTGTCTGGCAGCAATTCCGGCTTTCTTTTCCAAAACAGCTACAATTTATAATCCAATTATTTATGTCTTTATGAACAAACAGGTACTGTATGCTCTCAGAGTGTCTCTAACACTCATATTTTGCGATTTTGTCTTGCTTTATGATGAATTATTTCTACCTGCCTACGTGTTAGCTAACAAGCATTACGATATCCAGCATTTCAAATGAACAAATAATCTGCCTGGTGGAAAACAGTGTAAACCTCTGAGCATTATTGGAATATAAATGTTAATAATTAGATATTTAATAATATCTTTAATATTAATTAATATTAATATTAAATTAATGTCATATTAATTAATAATATTATTAATGTTAATAATTTAGATATTATAAAGGAAAATCAGCCCTTGGGGAACATGAGTTAGTTTCCCATATGGAAATTATGTTCTCAAGACTGTCCCAGTATATTTCAATAATTCTTTAGGAATGCAACACCAGTAAGTTGATTTTGAGGTGGGGTGCACATTTTCAAACTTGCCTTATCTTGGGGAAATGAGGCATTTGTGATTTTTGTGCAGGGAGTAGAAGGATTGCACACATTCATTTAACAGGGAGCTTTCTTCTCTGGAATTAGGGCAGAGGATTGGATGCAGAGAAAAAGAATTGACATGGGGATGAACCAGAGTTCTATGTACTCACAGTGATAAGATAATAAACATGGGCAGATTTCTGCAATGGATGCAGCTACTGAGTGGCAGCATCAAGCACATAAATTAAATAAAGAAAAATAGCTAAGTGACTGTTGAATAAAAAATGGTGAATTTATTTATCCAGTCCTGCAGAAAAAGCTATTGCTTATCTCACATCTTGTGGACAGCACTCTGATCTCCCAAACCATGTAGATGTGTGCTACTCTTTACCCTGTTCGTGGATATGAACAACAAAAACCTATCTTTGTGTACAGGAATTTAGTATATGAAGGCATGAGTCTGGAGAGATGATCAATTATGTCCATTAGATATGATTAGCTAGAAGCAGAAAAGAAAAATTCTTTTTTAGGTTAAGATTGGGTCTTTTCAGAATGTAGTTAATTTTTGAGTTTAGAGTTCTTCATGGGGGCATAGGCAAATATACTTTATGGGGTTATTTCTTTATATTCCCAACTGATAAATTAAATAATTTCCAAGACTTTTAGCTAATATGCAGAACTGATTTTAAATTTCTTATGTGTTTTGATTGATCTCCTGTATTTTCAACTTTTTAGTTCAGGCAGTGTCTGATTCAAATGTTGAGTTGCAGTGCCATAGGAACTGCAGAGTCCAAGACGAACCTGACTTCAGAGAGAGCAGTGCTAACCCAGGACAGAAGAGGCAGCGAGATGTCCCCCACAGCAGTCCACAGCACCATTTCTAAGAGGAAAACAGGAGATGAACACAGAAGCTGACAATCTTTGGCTCTGTTGACAACTTCAGAAAACAAAATGTGTCCCATGTAGAGGGATCACTAATTTAAAGCTACAGTGTATTTCATTGTTCCAATCACCTAATATAAAGATATGTTGTCACTGGGGACATCGTGGTCCTGTGGACACCAGCTTTTGAATGCCAGGCTCCTCAGGGAGTGTGAGAGCTTGCGGCAGGTAGTGGCACCACACTGCTCTGTGTTTCTCTCCCTCTAGTCCTTAAGTCCCTGTTTCTGCTTAAGTCTCATCCTCACTGCTTTAATTAGACTGCTGAATCCAGAATAAATTATTAACTTGTTATTACACCTCCGCTTTCAGGAGCAAGGACTGTAACACAAATACAGCTTCTGTGAGCAGTGAAAACAAACAGAAATTGCCAGCTTTCCATGGCTGTATTCCATCTCATATTTAATTCACACAATGGAGTGCAGCAATATACTTAGCCTTAGTGGAACGTCACTTGCACATGAAAAGCCAAACCAGGTTATGAGTGTAATAAAGACAGATTTCTGTTTCACACAGTGCTTGGGATCATTGTATGAAATGTTGCTAAGAACTAAGCTTGTGGTAAGGCACATTGGAATCTTAATCCTATATAAACTCTATTCTTAAGTGAATGCATTTTAGGGGGAAAGGCAAAGGCTGACTGTATTTAAATGCTTTAGGATGGAAAACCATTATTTCTACAGAAGACATTAGTACAATGCCAGTTAAAACAAATGTTGTTCCATAGTGGTACAGAGAAGCTACACTAGCTCCAGCCTGTACAGGCCTTAGCTATAGAAATGCAATATGGAATGAATCATCTGTGGTTCAGTTTTACTTCAAAGAAATAGAATTGTTTTAGAATAAAGAAGTTTTCTTTCTAACAGATTTTTTTTTCTGCTTTCTGTAAATGTTTGAAAAACTATATTGCCTTGAGAAAGAGTGGGACTACCTGAGATACTTTTCATATACTTGTCAAAGCTAGCTCCTGAGCAGTACCTTGCTGTCTTGGAAGTCAAGAACCATTCCTGCAGCAGCTGGAGATGCTGGAGGATCAGGAAGAGGGGACACAGGCACACAGCACAAAGCACATCTTGAAGCCCTGGAATGTTGCAGGGACTGGCTTCTGTATGATCCCCTGCTTGTGAGGAGGCGAGCTGCAGCTGCCTGCTGGGGTGGAGGAACAGGCACAGGAGCGTGTCCCTGAGCCCCTCTGGCCTTGGCATACCTGGTGAACTGCTTGGCCACCTGCTCCTGCCTGTGGCCCCTCACAGCACCCATGGCCAGTCACACTCTCCCATTTGCATCTTACAAAAGCCCTTTGGATCTTTTCTACAAGGTGTCCTTTGCAGAACAAGAGGGGAGATTAGGAAACATTGGATTACTTTCTGTTTTCTGATTAGAAGGATGTTCAGACTCCATTGCCCTGATTTCATTTTGGGATGGTAAGATCCAAAGAGGGGAGTTAGTCTACAAATAAAATCATGAGCTGCACATGTGAGAACTCACTGCAAGACTCTACAGTCTTCCTATTCATCTCACAAAATTTCATGAGGTGACTGCCTTTCACAGTGTAATTTTGGCCTCAGTGGGCTTGAACTTTTGCAGGGCTCAATCTTTAACCCAAATCTTAAACCCTTTATTCTGACAGGCACATTCTTTACCAGTAATCCTGTTATCCAGTGTTATCTGGAGCAGAGCAATGAACAGATGTATATGCCTTTTTAAAGTGTTTTAGAAATACTGTGAGATAGGAAGAGTATGGTATTCAGTTATTAATTGTATGCACCTTTTTGTGCTCATTAGTCCATTAAAGCAGTCAGATATGATTTGAAAGTAAAAATTCTTGTATTTAAGACTCAGATTTTCTCTTTCAAGGATATATTGACCTAGGTTAATCACAAGTTAATTATATTACATGTATTAAATCATGAAGAATTGGCAGAAGTGCTGGTGTTTAATTAAAAGCAACAGAATTATTTTGTCTCCTGAGAAGGTGAGGATATGTAAAGTATAGCTCTGTAGTACAAAATAAAGAAGCAAAAATTAAGTAATTGAAAAGAAAAAAAACAATGTAAAAATGCATGGAAACTAGTAGAAAACAGCAAGGTGTCTCTATGAGATGTTCCCATATTTGATAGAAAAAAAAGGAATAAATAATAAATAGAATCTGTGGGTATTTTCATCTTCAAATGCCTTCAGTAATGCTTTTCAGGAGGAGGAGGAAGAGAATACCTTTCTTCTTACTTACTGGTCAGAGAGTATATTTTAAAATGTGTGAACACCTTGATGCATTGTCACAGTGGGCCAACCAGAACAGTATCAGCCTGGGAGCAAAATATTACAGGGTTCCAGGAATTGGTTGTTAAGGCTATCAATGCAGTGCAATAAATTTTTTTTTTAGAACTACAAACAAAACTAGGGGCAAGGGAGAGGGCTCTGTTTTTATTTTTAGTTGTGTAGGGACACATTTTTGCAATATGTGGTAAAAGCATGACATGAACATTTCACCAAACACAAAAAGTGATTTAAGTAATGGATGGTTTTAAGAACTTAAGATTTCATGAATAAAAGGTGTGAGCACTGCCAAAGCTTGTTACACTTGATTGGGAGCTAATAAACAGCATCTTGTGTCCTTGAATTTTCATTTTGCCACCAAGAGGATGCCTAGAAATTATATTCCTTAAAAAAGTGTTACAGTATTGTCTACTGTTTGCAAAAGTAGCAGTGTAACACTACACCATTTTCTCCTTTGTGATCATTGCATTTTAATGACGTAACCTGGAGAAAGATACTGCCCTTCCTACAAACATGCCCCCATGGCATAGGGGGATAATTGATTTGTGTTTTTTCTTTAAAATGTCAGCAATATTTCATCAATCTACCTGTTTGTAATGGAAATAGCTTCTTATTTATTTGTTTATTAATATAAATGATGGTTGGCATAGGAGTTACTGTTGTGTTACAAAGTCATGTTGATTCCTTTGGGATAACAGTAAGAAAGGCACCGATGCTGAAGCCTGGCTAAATGATTCACTGAGTGAAACCCAGGAATTATGGAAAAGATAACAGCAATCTTAGGATGCTTCTGTTGCTGGAAACCTCCCATTTGAGGAGTCTCTCCTTTTAGGTCATGACATGCTACGCAGACCCTATCCAGGATGAATTATTCCAGCCTTGCTCTTGACATCTTTACGCTATGTCCAAGTGAACAAAGTTACCCATCTTGTGTCTGTCCAATGCTGGACTTTCTAGCTGACACACCACAGTTCTCTTTCACTAGGAATGAGCCCATAGAGATGTATTTTTAAGGCAAGTATATCCTGACATCACAACATGTGTACAGGATATGGAGTGGTCACTCAAGCTAATGAACAGGTTTGTACAGCTGGGGCCTCTGCTCAGGTTCTGTTTGGAATCATTCTCTCCTCATTGCTATGTCTTCTGCTGTGGCCCACCACAGCTGCTCTGCACTTATCGTTTAGTCAGTTCTTTCTTGTGGAAAAACTAACAAACAAATCTGTTCTTAAAGCTGTATATTCCTGAGAAAAAAACCCCGAACAAACAAGTGGATTTAGGCATGGGGAAAAATATCCAAAACAGCTTTCAAGAATCATTTCAGTGGGAGATAAAATGCTGAGATTTAAAAGTAGATTGTCCAAGCTATTTTTCACAGCCTCAAATCTAGAGAAAGAATACATGACATTTTAAAATGTCATAAGACCAGCTCACCTCATCACCCACTAGCAGGGATGAAGGTGAAAGACACTGAATGTAGTGTTGGTGCATCTCAGAAAATGTTCATGTTCTTGCCCTGGCAGCAAACAGTACAGCTTCTCTGGGGATTCCTGACTGCTTTTTGAAGGTACAAATGTCTTAACATACAGATTTTGTTCCTCCTAAAACCACAGGTACTACAGAGCACTGCTGGAGGACATATTTGTTCAAAGTGCAGGGGCATGGAGAGGAGCAGAGATTGTTACTGAAGATCAGTTCTACCACAAGTTCACTATAAACCAGATTACTCCAGCATAGCTCTGATGCAGATTAACTTCTAAATCATCTGTTTGTATCTCATTATAAACAGATTGCTCCTTTTGCAAATATTTTTGCCTTGGTTTTTGGTAAAAATGCACTTAACCACATATCTGAGTTTCTTTCACTTTTGATTAATAAGACCTTGCTCTTACCCACACTGAACATTTATTGCCAAGGACTCTGAAAGCAAAAATGCGACTAGCAATCAAATCAAGTTTGAGAAACACATTTCTCTCTGATTTTGGACAAAATATTCATTCCTGCTTTTTCCTTGTTTCCTGTTTTCTCTTCCATTCATTTCTTCACAGAGTTCAGAGCAACACCTCCAAAATAAAACACTTCTAATATTCTCCCTCTGGTTGCTCTTACCTGCAGATCTGACATCCCACTCAGGGGAGAGTCTTTCCCCCAACAAATGCACTTGCAAAGGGGAGAAGGGTTTGACAATGAGATGAGGTCTAAGCCTAAGCAGGTCCAGCATTCACACATGCTCAGAGTGTCCATGGTACTCCTTCACACTATTCCAGCCTGAGTGTTCCCACACATGAACACAGGGCAGACATATTTGGCATATTTGTTCACAGTCTAGCTAGAGGAATAATATACGTATTATATGGCTAGAACATTTCTGTTTAATTATGACCTCAGTGAAAATGATTATCCAAGAAAACAGAGTCATGAACATTAACAATAATTCTCATCTCAATTATTGAGAAATACAATTTTAAATGATTGGTGAAGAGAAGATTCCTAAGAAAATTTATGATAATGTTCTTTATTATAATCCTTAGTATTATAGATTGTACTATTTTTTCTCTTTATTACATTATATTGAAGTCTCTTTCTTTTTCTATGTCACAAATAGTTAAAAATCTAAGAGAATTTAAGGGCCTTTCAGCAATTTGGCACACCAGTTTTATCTCAAGTATTACCTAGCTGGATAAAGATATTAATGTAGTCATCTCTCTTTAGTCTCAATGAATTACTATAAAAATGTCAAACAATTAGATTATATTGGCCAACACAGCCCTGTTTGATTGAGTACAGATGTAGGCCATGTGCCTTGAATCACACTGATGAAGAAGGAGAAAGGTTTGTGGAATTTCAGTGCAAATTTATTTCAATGTACATCCCACTTCAGATTCTAATGACAGTACTTGCAATACTAATTACCAAAAAATGCTAAATAGGTATTTTTCAGAAGGAATAAAAGTCAATGTCATTCAGGAGAAATACCAATGAACTCTGTTGGAGGAGAAAAAACTGAAAACTATAAAGCTAGCACAGATGTTACTTGCTGGTGCAAACACAGATGCTGCCCAAGGGCACAGATCTAACTATACCAAAGGAGCAAAATGAACATTTCTTTTACTTACGGGAATAGTAGTGCTTAAATTCTCTCTCTGCTGGGCGAGCAAATGCAGTATATACTTTTGTGTTAGGAAGACAACCAGTGTATAAATACTTGATAGTAACATCAAGTTTGGTTACAAATATATCAGTGTTGGCTTCTGTGCCATTCTGGTGGTCACTAGGACTGTGCCTTCCTTTCTCTGCACACACAAACAGTGTGTTCAGCTGCCCATGCAGCCTGTCGTGGAGTGGCAAGGGACAAATCCTTACAGATGAAAAACCTCCCAGTTATCTGGTGCCCACATGGATCACATGTGATGAAAAGCTAAAGTTATGCTGTTATAAATTAAAAGCTGGGAACAGCTTCTGTTTCATATATGATAAAAATTCAGAAGATAGTTATGTCAGTTGTATTTTGCTGTAGTAATGTACACCATAAGCAAAGCATACTGGCATGACATTTCCATGGTGAAGTCTGCCTCAGCTGAAGAAGTCTGCTCCCACTCTATGCCTTCACATCTGTGTCCATGTGTATCTGAGCTTCTGGAGCAGCAGTGCAGGAGAAAGCATGCACCTGTGTTGTCAGTCACAGTGCCAGGATTACTTACTAATCATAAAAAAAAAAAAAATAACGGCCCAGAGAGGCTCAGATACAGAATGACAAGTCAGGAATTCTACGTTGGAACCATGAATAGTGATCTATGGAATTTAGCTGCTGCCTCACTGTCAGGATTAACCAAAGTACAGGTGGTCATCCACATACCTCAGCTGCAGCATATTCCATACTCAGTTTCTATTCTGTAACCAACTTCAAGAGTTACAAGCTCAGATAAATTCTGAGGACATGACAGAACTGCAAATATTTCTGAAACCCATTCTTTTTTTCCATCAGGAAATCTTAGTTAATTCTCTCCACTGGTGTATTGACAGGTAATTAATACACATCAGTGGGAGAACAGACTGTTCTGGATGCTTCTACAATGCTGAGAACCCCAGCAGACAAACCCATTAGTACCAGCATGAAGGGCAAGATGTCTGCTTTGAGCAGAGTAAATGTTTTCATCACGAACTTTTTTCCCTACATTCCTCTTCCAGGATATTGCAGATTACAGGTCTACAGTATAATTCTACTGTCATTATTCTCTCATAAAACTCACTTTGTACTTCAGAGGTGGCTCTCCAAGCCATTGCCCACAGTTTTCCAAATGAACACTTCTGTTCTACAATATGAAACTGTTCACCTTTACTGACGGATTACAATCATGATGTCATTGTTCTAATCAAAACAAATTGGGAGCACTGATCTGTTTCTTAAAACTTTGGCATCAAAAAGAAGACAGAGAAGAGCAGTGTGGACACTGTTGCCACGATATAAACTTGATCTACTACCCAGTAACCAGTCAGATAATAAAACATTTGTAATACATAGTATTTTCACACAGAAGCCAGTACAGTTTACAATTGTCAAGGGAAATTACCATCTGCACTTCTGAAAAACTCAGGTTTGTTTTGTGTTTTTTCTTTGCTCTCTGGACCTCTCCCAGCAATGTATTGACTTCTTTCACAATTGAAATGCTCAGGCGAAGTTAAGAAAAAGCCCACTGAAAATGAAAAAGGATTTTAGACAAAAATGAACATGATTCAGTTTACTTAAGTATTATTATCTGTATCTTATCTCAGTGTACTTATAGCACAGAAAAGTTATGTCAGCTCTTGGAACTGCTGAATTGTTGATTATCGTTATAGTAGGCCTGTAAAAACCAGAAGTCTTAACCATCCACCTTGCTAAGAAACTTATGACTTTAACTTCACTTTCTTTAAGAAAATTAAGTCATCAAAAGAGCCAGAAGATTATAAACATATTTTTAGATGCCTTTTCAGGAAATAAACACAAATCCTCAATTACTGCAGCCATGATTTCTGGAAAAGGTTTCTGTACATCTTTGTAAACATCTAGTTTCCCTAACAATTTCAAATGCTAAATGTCAAGAATGAGACCATCAAGGAAAGTGACAAGTTGTGGACATTCAGTTACTGGAAAGGACATGTACTCGAGCTCAGGACTGACTCACTTTCAGTTTAATCTTGACAGTTTTCACCCTCTTATGCCATCATGTGTGAGGATGAAGCATTATATGAAACAAAGGGAAAAGAAACCACAGTAGCTATTCAGTGACAATGAAGTATCTTCCTAAATTTCCCATAGTAATGGACACTGTCACAAAACACCCTTTTAAATTCTTGTACCTTCCCAGTCCAAAATACTGGCCTTTACTTCTGAAAGGGGTCTCTATTTTGTTGGCTTCAGCTGTTTGAACTTCAGCTGTTTGAACTAACTTCGTGCTCTCTTTTGACAGAGGATGAAAAAATTTCTTCATGGATGGACTATTGCATGGACTATTACAATGTTTACTTTAATATATTTTAAGTATACATACATAGGTATCAAGATTCATATTTCAGGGAATATTATAACTGGTATTTTATACACCAGCAATATTGTTAACATTCCATACTGCATTTAAATCCCATTATAGAAATGGGATTAAGTGATCTAAAATTGTTCCTCTTAAGTAAGTCTTAAGTAACCATAAGTCTTAAGCAGCCATCTGGAAAACTGCACTATATTAAATACGTTTCTTCTTATTCTGAAATGAAGACTACTGTGCCTGCTACTTTTGAAAATGCTGCTACCATGTTCATGAAAGACCCCATGCACTCTTCTATCACTGGCTGAGAAGTATTCCATCAATTTATCACCTGAGTACCAATTTGGGTCTTCCACTGACCAGTAAATATTTCAGGGCACATAGGCATGCCTTCAGTTTAAACTTGATCACTTCCTTAAAACCCATGTTGATAACTATCTGTCATTGCATCTACATGAAGACAATACATTTGGAATTAATGAATAAATTAATTAATACTTTTTAAAAGGGGAACTTTAAGAAGTTCATCCTGGTGACTCTACAGTGATGAGCTGGTCTTTCACCCACACACAAGAGAAGAGAGGATTTACACTCGTATGGGATGGTTGAATTCCCTCTGATACCCTATTTCAGGAGAGCTTCCAGGTCAGATGGTGCCAAAGCACAGGTTGGAAGGCTTAGAAGGTGTAAAATCACTAAACTAGAACTAAATTAGTGTTCAAACTCAAGAAGAATGGTCTTAAATAATTAAATAATTCTGGGAATGATCCATACACCATGCTCAACTCTGCTCTAATTTCCCTGCCTTCAAACACCTACAGCAGCAGCTGCTCCATTTGGGGATCTGCTCCACCACAACCCTTTGCACAGCAGGGACCACAGCCGTGCTGACAGGAACAGCCACGGCAGCTCTGGAGAGAGAGACACACATGAGACCTGAAATCCTTGAACGACTGCTTAAGGCAGTCTAATTTGAAAGAGGTTACACCAGGGACTAATGACAGAGCTTCTCTTTTTTTTGTTTGTTTTATAATTTTGTAGCAAACTTGCTGCAGCTCTTTACTGCAGACCATTTAAAACCTCACACTTTTCTTGGACAGCTATGTACAACTCAAATTATGTTCTTGTCCTAGAGTATCAACAATAAATTCACCATGATTTTTTCCCTCCCCACATTTTTCAGATTACATAAATTTTAGCTGACCAATTCTTTTCATGCTAAAATATATTATGAAATGTCATTTCTGTTATAAAAGCTAATTGATAGTGTGATTTGTTATGTTGCTGAGACATAATTCAGAAAGTTATTTTAAAGCCCTTGATACATGGAATAGCACTAACTGCTTAATATTTCTTGTATGAATGAATACAGTGCATGGGAATGATGTAGTGCCACATAGATGAAATATTTTCAGAAGCTCTTATTCTTGTTGTTTGGGCTTGTGCCAATGTCATTTGATGAGAGAGCTCATACGTCCTAAGGTGTATCTACTGTAATTTATTTCTGGGTCATTAGTTGGTAGGATTTTTTTCCTCCAGGCTGCTGAATATAATATTGTAAAAATTGAGAGCAGATAGTCAAATAAATGAATACTTTAGAATACACATAAAAATTAGATAAGTATTTTTAATTTTAAAATATTCTAATTTAATATTTTTATTTCATGAAAAGAATTACTTAATATAATAAAAAAAATTTCTTACCCTTGTGAAAGTCCAGATGGAGTACTGCACCTAGTTCAAGAGTCCCCAGTATAAGAGCAAATCCAGAAAAGGCCACAGAGCTGTTCTGAGGGCTGGAGCCCCTCTGCCCTGGAGCCAGGCTGGGACACCTGGGGGGGCTCACCTGGAGAGGAGAAGCTCCAGGGAGAGCTCAGAGACCCTGCCAGGGCTAAAGGGGCTCCAGGAGGGCTGGAGAGGGACTGGGGACAAGGGAAGGAGGGACAGGACACAGGGAATGGCTCCCAGTGCCAGAGGGCAGAGATGGGTGGGATATTGGGAAGGAATTATGTTGAGAATGTTATGAAGGAAAACCACAGGAAAATGAAGAAAGCAAAAATTATTAACCATTTTATTTAACACTAACTTGTTTTCTAATTAAACTACAAGTACTTCCATATAAAGCAATGACTTCATTCAGCATAAGGTTGTTTGGTAAATCTTTTAGCTATCTTCCTAGTGAATCATCCATGTCAAAATAAAATACATCATGGAAACATTTTTTCAAATGGAAGCACTGACATTGATACATTCCAATTTCATTCATGCATCAAGGCTGAAAAATACTAGCCCACTTTTCTTTAACATATGTTGGTACTTACCATATTTTTAAAGGATTCACTAAGTCAAAAAACCCTTAGCGTACTAACTCAAATTTCTGAACTATATATTCTATTTTCCTGACACTTATTCTGATATCAAACTGCTAACATCTGAAACAGAAACCAACAATGTGAATATCTTCTTAATATCACCTCTCCGTAGATCAGTGTAGGTATTCCCAGCATGAAAAGATTGACACAAATTACATCAGAATCATGTGGGGTAAACCATAGAGCACACAATTAAAAAATGATGGATGAGTTGCAGGAAGATCCAAGGAAGTGCAAACAGTCTGCTCTTCTATTTTGTCTCCAGGAGAGCTGTGAGAATCTGCACCCACTATAAAAATACATTAAAAAACATTGTTATTTCTGATTATGACTATATATAAGAATGCTGTAAGTGCTGTCATTTAACACATCTTCTCGATTAATACTTGTGGTTCTTTTACATTCTTTCGAAAGTATTAACAACTGTCACTATATTGAAGAAGCATTTTCTGAAAGAAAAACAAAACTAGGAAATATTTCTGATCTGAGTTCTTTCTTCAATTCTATGACAGCGCAAGCTATAAATAAACCTTATTTTAAAAGGTAAGTCCTATGCACTGAAAAACAGCAGTATAATTTTATAGACAGTATATTAGAAATTGTTTTACTCAGAAATTCTTCCCCGCTCTCCAACCAGATGCCAGATATTTCTTATGTCTAGTATGCCCTGTACAAAGCAGACTGTCTAAAATCACAGCAGATCCTACTGATCCTTTTGCAGTTTATAATCCTGTACCATTTATATTGTTTATGTTGTGCTCCTCATGTACCTTGTTAGTAATACTACTTTATTTTTCCTGTGGAGAAAACATTTTAGCTTTTGGTCAGCTATGTCAAAACCTCCTCAAAATTTTATTAATATAAAATATAGCTACTCCAATTATGATATTGTATCAGTGGTCTTCCAGCTCTCAGCTCTTTTAAGGAGTTTCAGAGAAAACTGTAGTAGCTTATACCCATGAACTATCCATCTAAAGGTTCTAGTTAGTGCTTACAGCCAATCTTTCATACTAAGCCTTTTAATTCTTACTTTCAATGGAATCCCTTTTCCTGTGACTTCTGCTTTTCTGAAGAACACGAACTGTCTGCCCAGTCATTTTACCAAAGCTCAGCAAATCTGGAAAGAAATGTTAGTTTCTGTGAGCTTTTATTTAAAGTTTTGAAAGTTTTGGAAAACAAGAAAGTATCAACAATACAGCCTGGTGCTTTCACATTTAAAACTTAATGGAAAAGGATACCATTACAGATTAAAGCAATGTATCTGTGTAGATGCAAGTTAAATCCAGGGGATTTTTTCCCCATAGTTTATGTAACTACAGATGGCCATGTCCTAGGGTACTGCTTCTCACCATATAAATCCTATTCTTACCATATGACCATCAGCAAACACCCCAGCAAACCTGTTTTAAGTAGGTTACTGTTCTGTATGAAAGATCAACCTGCCACCCACAGACGGCTCCTGCATGCAGTTCACCCCCTATGGAAACTCCAGGCAGAATTTGGGAAGGAGCAAAGAAAGAAGAGACGGGAGACAGGTAGATACAGCCAGTCCCTGAGTGCACACACGCGAGTGCCTGAAGCAATTTGAGCCCAAGCTGACACAAACACAAACACTCACTCTCAAACAAGGTCTCCAGCCTTTCTGCATTCTCCTCCAAGCTCGTGTACCACTGGGGGGCTATGACAGAACCAACACCTGTAAGGCTTAGAAGCATTGCTGTCTCTGTTGGTCCCTCTAGAGCAATACGCAGACAGCTAAAGAAGATCAGAATGGCAAGAGCAAAAAAAGAAAAATGTACATAATATATAAGAAATATAACCAAATATACAATGCTTTTTAATAGAAGGAGAAGGAATATCAGAGTGCATATTTTCTTGTATGCTGAGCATAAAGTGTTTTCCAACATTCATACAGCACTTTGAATTTAATACAGTGAATTCAGGTAAACTTCTCTCTACATTTTTTCGTGATGCAATTTTACCATGGGGTTTACTCTCTTTCATTTTACTGTAGTTCTGGACATCTCTGGAAATCAGAAAGGAGTAGTAACACCCTAACTTTTACAAAACATTGTAGAATAACAATTTTATAAGGCAGTCAAAACACTGGGAATCAGGTGTGAAAATGCATGTTTAGACATAAAATATTGCAGGAACCAAAATCTTGTCTTTTGTCGTAAGTATGGCGTTGATTTGGAGACTTAAAAGTGAATCACGTGCAATGCGGGATTTGAGTTTTTACTGATGAATATTTCAGTAGGTATCTTTGGCATAATTACTTTAGTCATAAAAGGGGAGTGATACTCTATGGTTGAAAGTAAAAACATTGCAGTAAATAAAAAGTTGCATTTTGGTTTTATTCAGATCTGCTTTTCATAGTAACTTCATCAAAATATAAGTAAACAATATAAGTTTTTTGCCAACTTTTAGGGAGATGTTGTCTGATTGTCTATGGAGTTTATGTGACTCATTTTTAAATTAATGTTATTCTAAATTTTTAGAAAGCATTTAGACTTAAACATGTAACTCTTACTGATAAATTCACCAAACTATTAAACTGAGACTTCAAAATTTTTGAGTTTGAAAAAATTAAACTAGTTTAAGGAATTATGTTTTGGTTTACTTTAGGAAATGGCTGTTTGGGATCAAAAACAAGGATCATAAACAGGAGTTTGTTTATCCACTCAGACATCTGCATATTTACATATCTAGATATGTGTATAACCTATTTTACACACAACTGGATTTAACTTATGCATTGTTGCACTAACTAAACAGTATTTTTAGAGAATTTGTTTTCTATTTTTTCTTCATGGGATGAATAGTTAGAAAAGTCAAGAAATATTTATGTCCCCAGGGTGTGCTTTTTTCACTTGCTGCCCAGGCACACTGTTGGCTCAGCCCCAAGAGCCTTTCTGCAGGGCTGCAGCCACCCCTCTCCAAGTTTACACTTGTGTCCAGCATTACTTCGCCACCAGTGAAGAGTCTGTCATTTGCTCTTGTTAAATTTCATGTCACTGTCGATTGCCCAATGCTCCAATCTATCTACATCCCTCTGCAAGGCATCTCATCCCTCAGGAGTATGAGCAGGTAATCTGAAAATTCAGCATGGACTGAATAATTAATGAATAAAACTAAGACACTGTGGCATCTGTCAAGAATTCATAATGGACATGCAATAAAAGAATGTAAACCCTACCCGCTGTTGACTTAAATGCAACAAAAATACTGAGATGCTTTTAAAGATAAAGCGCTGCAAATAACATTAAAAAATCTGAACAGGTTATGTAATGTCATAATAATCCATTTAAACAAAAATCTGTCTGATTGTTAAACTCTTCCATGTATGAACCCTCTGAGGGACTCTTAGCTGTTTATCTGTTAATGAAAAATTTTATATATTCAGTTAGAACATTTTGAGAATCTTGCCCTCAGACGTGTGGGGTATGTGTAATGTAACAAGGTTTCTGTGTCATATTTTCTTATCATTGCCTTCTAATAGAGCTTTCATCCTATTTAGTCCTATAAATAAGCTCTTTTACTTGCAAAAGGAAAGGATAATATTCATAACTCTAAATTTTAACTTTTTTTTCAAATAATCTGCCTTATTGTAGACTTTACTGAAATTGACTTCACCTACCTTTTGTGGGTATCAGAGTTTGTAATTCTTTGGTAACTTTGCTGTGATCGTACCAGATCGAGAAGAATCACCAAACGGCATTCTAGAAAAAAATATAGCAATGGTGTTTGCACTAACAATAATGCCCAGCATGATAATTAAATTATTGGCTTTTTGTAAGTTAATTCCTTTCTTGAACATAGCCTAAACCACCAGTACAAAACCTACGTATTTCAGCTGCAATTGTCAATTATTATGTAAATTTACACTAATAAAGTCATCCTAGTATTATTTCATGTAATTTTGCTACACTTTTCCATAGTGTTTTGCAGGATGTTTTTCCTATGCCACATCAGCATAATTGGTAATGGAGTCCACAGACCATCTTATTACAGCCAGTGACCTGTGTGACCTAACTCTGTAGTTATGAACTCCTGGAAGAGTTTATGGTATGCAGGTATTGAATTCTTTTTATACCACAGCTCCTCTCCATAGCTCACAACCAAGTTACATCCCTAACATGCCTTATTTTCCTTAAAGGTTTCCAGTGAAATAACTTAGAATACTCTCAGAATTAAAATGTTTTGCCTACTGTTTGGTTTTCTGTAGCTTGAATCTGTTTCTT